CGTTACTACTTACTTACGCCTGTTACTCCCAATCGAGCATAGGCCGCGGACCAACATTATTCAACCCACTCTGTCCTGGGCCTTCCTTTCTAGTTCTATCCAATTTTCGTTCATTCTTCTCATGTCTGTCTCTATTTCTCGGCGTAATGTGTTCTTCGGTCTTCCTCTTTTCCTTTGGCCTTCAGGATTCCATGTGAGGGCTTGTCTTGTGACGCAGTCCTATCCACTTCCAGCGCTTTTTCCTTATTTCTTCCTCCAATAGAATCTGGTTTGTTTTCTTCCACAGTAAACACTACTACTGCAAACATAGTAATAATAATAAATGCCTAATCAGAACAATGACCGAGCGTACTGCATGGTGAACATTCAGTCCAATCACTCTTTCTACTGCTGGTGGTAGAAATAGTTGGAACATCATGCGGACACCATTATCTTTATCACACTCTTCACTGGGTTCCAGGAGTGGCACGCCTGACAGCAAAAGGTTGGGAAGATTGAATCGAAGAGAAAAAGAACGGAGAGTAATGGTTATAACAGTGAAAAAAAGATAAAGTTTAAGACAACTGATAGAGGAATTACAAATGAAGTGATGAGCGTATAGTTTTCACATTTTTCTAAAAAACTATGTAATTTTGTATCAAGGCACAACTGGTCATTCCCGCCTGTGTTCTCGTTCATTACGATGTCAGATGTCTCTCAAGCCATAAATCCAGAGGCTACAGGCGTTGCTGCCATTGAAACATTTAATACTGTTAACTGTAATAGTGGCATTTCTTCTTTAATACATTTATGGATGCCTTCAATTCCTATGATATGGGGTGGACCGGCATCAACGCCGCAGCTAATTATTTACGTTACGCTAAATTTTGCTTCGTCTCCTTACTGGACCGTATTTGCTGAAAAGATTTGAAAACTACCTATTAAGTAGACATTGTTAAAACTATTAAACAAACCTGGGAGTTTTGAAGGCCACTCATACTTTAATGATTCGCTTTCAGTAAGTTTCGTAAACGAAATTAATCAGAGCAAGGTCTTTAGCTCTCGACAACAGTAAGAAGCGAATGTTGTCCATCCGATCTCCTTTCAAACAACGGAACTATGAACTTCATTCACGAACAACGCGCAGTAAATCGTGGTTATGAGTCGTTGACCATCTGATTGCGGTGAACAATCAATCTACCGTACAAGCATGGGCGAACAATTGAAATCCATATCGAATAGCTTGCTTATTTATTTTAAACAGGATATTCGGAGAAACATATCTTAGTGATGATGATGTTTTCAGCCGTGGATGATGACCTTTCATTCTGCGTGCATATTTGACAAAACAATTACTCCCTTTGCAATGTCTATTTCATATAACAAAGACAGGAACTTTGATTCTTATAAACTGTTAATTATCTGGCTAACTTTCCTCCAGTTGAAAATCAAACTTCAATAAACATTTCTCAAAACACATTCTCCGCCTCGTTGTTCGATATAAGCACGTCAAGTGACCTGATTGTGCTAAACAGATCTGTAAAATCCTGCTCCTTTGTACAAGGGTACAAGGAAATAGAACTTCACACTCGGAAACGACAATCCATTACTCTAGATAAGAAATAAATCATGAACTCCATTTGACGGCAGAATAGATCTTAATTTAAAGACATGATAGGGCCGATAAAGAAGGAAATAGAACATTTGAATAACAGAGATGCGGGAGTAAATTTTCATCAATAAGGATCAGGAATCCCAAAAACCGTGGCAATAAGGTCAGCCACATCTTTTCAAAAAATTTACCTTAATATCTATGTGTTTTACATATTTCATTTCTTTCTGCATTGGCATACATAATTGCCATGGTTATTGTAATTCCTTAACCCTATCGATGAAAATTTAGTGGTATGATTATAAGCACTGAATAAATAGGGATTGTTTAACTTGTCTTTAAAAATGTGTGCTTATGTAATTTGGACTACACTGTTACCTGTAATAATTCGCTAACTGGTTTGTAATGATGCATTGTTGCAATCTGATCGATTGAAATCCACCTAAAATAAACTGTTTGAACTGGATGCCTAATTTTAACTTTTCACATCACAATTTTGTTTCAATAAAATAATCCGTCAGACGGTTTAGCTGTTGTGAAATATTTAAAAAACTGTCGCATCAGTTATATTTGAACCTCTTATGATACTACTGGTAGTTATAGACATTGAGATGAAGAGTGGTATCAATTTTCTTACTGGTAACACAACTTAACTTGTTTGGCCATGTCCATTCAGTCTGACAATTATCATTGACAATAGAAAATCGCTAAAAATTAAGTGCATATAATTTATATGTAAGTATAAAGACTATATACTTCATCCAAAGTAAACTACAACTGTTAACTTTTTCTGTATTATGGTCGTACGTTTCTTGTCGACGGAGACACATATTTCATAATACAGTAGTGATTACTATACTTGAAATCTAATAAACTCAAATATACATTGGTCTTAATATTTCGCAATTTTTTTCCTTCCTCATACTTTTCTTCCTTCACAGCCAGATAGTTCCCCTTCTATCTTCTCTATAGACCTTTTATTTCCAAATGGGTTATTTCTGTTTATGTGGTTCCTCTGATTACAGTTCATCTCAATTTCAACAGTTTATCTTGTCATACTGAGCATTCCCATTCCAGACACAATTTCCTTATTTATCTTCATAATGAATATTCAAACACTCAACAACAAAATTATTTCATGTATCAATAGGTATATTGTGTTTATATATTCACTTCACAAAAAAACTCCGTACATTTATATTGAACTCCTTAATCTCAAAATTACTTAATATTTATTCTTATGTAACGAGCTGATATAATGAACTGATAATGTAGTCTCATCTTTGGATTTAATTCTGAATACCTCAAGTTTCTGATTGGTTGTTATCTTAAGAGTAAATATTTAGATAAATTGTTAGGTTGATCAATTAATATTTATTTATCGAGATCGTGAAGCGATCAATGTTAGACCATCAGTGAAAACCTGCAAGCATCAGATGGCCGTTCCCTTTTAGTATGGGACTTCTCAACAGTGAGCATTCACGATCCTGCATGCGGAGTTCGAACCCAGGACCTCCTTTCTCTCGTGGGTACGCTTAACCTCTAGACCACCGAGTTGGCATCCAACGATATTAATGTCCAACCTTAACCAATGCATGATATTACGCGACCATCTTCTAATATTGCAGTGTCATGGATTGAATGGAGTTAGATTTCAATCGTATTTCGACCAAACCATCTCAACACTTTATTTTGCTTTGATATCCTTTGAGCCATGTGGTTTAATTTTCAAGTTTTTCGTTTCCATTTTGAATAACATAGGCTTAAACTCAGATAGAAATTAGCTTTTATAATTACTGCGAAATAACTGACATCGGTACGAAGTGTTATTCATTTTTACTGAGTTCAGGTTTCCTTTACATAACTACTAAAATTTCTACTATTTTTCTAGGTAGTGTCAGTACAAAGGTTAAAAATGACTGATCCGTTTGTTTACAAGATAATTTCGTCAATAATAATTTCGTTTACCCGTTGACAACGCCTTAGTTATCTATATCTATTCATTTATTTTGATTGTGTATTTATGACCTGATTCATGAACTTACTATAGACTTTTTATAATTTTCCTAATGCCGAATATATATTGGTTTTGTCTTAATATGTTTGTTGATTGTTGAGTGATCAGAGACCTGAGTTACTAGACATTTTCACTTTTCTTTGTATCAGCTTTATAATAAGATTCGCTTTCTAGTATATTCATCTCTAGAACTCAAATACAATTCCTTTCATCATCATTATAGTTGCAGACCAGAAAAATAACTTGTTATGAGTTGAAGTGTAAAATACTACAATGTTCTGTACTGGATGGTTACACATTTCTAATAAAGGAAACGAAGATAACAAAACAGCTATTCAGTAAGCTTTTTTTATTTAACTCTTGAGCTTATATTAGGTTATAAGGAATACAAAATAAATAATAAAATGATTAGTGTTATTCATTTATTGAATAAACTGTAAACGTTCATATTGATATCTGATATATGTATCATTGAAAACCAAGAAACACTGGATAGTTGTTTCTTTTTAGTACAGGATCGGCAGTGCATAACGAAAACTCTACCTAGGACATTTAAGTCTCATAATGATTGCTTAACATAGTGATCATCAAGTTGCAACATTCCTAACTTGAATCAAGTCTATAGCTATTTAACAACCGTTACTGCTAAACTTCTTATGAATCGGTTTAATAATACGTATTTTAGAATCATCCCTCAAGGATCAATACCGAATGTTATTACCCTTAAATTTCACACATTAATGCTTTCGTACCTTATTACATAACAAAACATCGATTTTTCCTGATAACGAAAAGAAAAAAAGTCAAGTGACAATTTCTTTTTTAAACCACGTAAACAATTTGGTACTATTGAATATTAAGCAACTTATATGTAAATATACACAATGGTCCATATAAATAATTCAGTGTAATATAGCGCCTACCTCTTTTATATTGCTAATGTTTTATCCGATAATGTACTTTAAGAGGGAAAAAACAAACCTTTTTTTTAAGACATGGAAACAAACTTCTCTAAAATAAATAATTTTTCATTTCAGATTATTTTTCCTACATCACGCAATGCCACTATAGTTTAATGCTTCTTATTGTTAGTACATAATTACTACCACTTTTATAGATCCCATTCATGACTGATTATAAATTCAATCATAAATAATTTTAATACTATTTATGATTTATCTCTATAATAATAAGAAACAAAATAATTGGTATACTTGATTAATAATTAAAGGGATGAACTACTCAGTGATATTATTATTATTAAATAGGGGAACAAAGTGTTTAAGCAGATCAAGAAAAAAACTTTATTTGTCTAAAAATAATGCGCCTTTCGGTGAGATCAATTAAACAATATTTATCGTTACCTATTTGAATATGGAAAAAAAGAGCTTTACAATAGCTAATGTGGTTTATTTTTCAATGATAATTAATAGATGATAAGATATTGATTAATAAGCGGTTTGTTTGATCTTTGAATTACAATAAATATGGTATCTGATACAAAGGTATATAGTTATTATTTAGTCATGGTGTAGTGAACAAGAACATAAGTTGGGACAGTCAAATGTATTTGAGCTCAAAATTATAAAATATCACACTAAAATCTGACAACCATACAGTGAACAAAGATGGATAGTGGCTAGCAGTGGAATTCAGTTTGGCGCGCACTTTGTTCTATTTGGGACTCGTCAGTTGGATGTACCTGAATCTCAGAGTTTTTGTCCACTAAGGGACTAGAACGCCATTGCACAAGCAAGTGGATATCAGGACTCAGTAGATAAATGGATAACGCGATGGCGTTTGAAACGAACGGTATTGGGTTTGAGTCCCAGAGTGAACATCAATTCTGAGATACAGGTATATCCAGATGACGAGTCCCAAACTGGACGAAACGCGCGTGCTGGATTCCACTGCTAGACACTATCCATCTTTGCTTATAAAGCTTGTGAGTTCAGGTAATATCGAGGCAGTTCGTATAGGATACACATATGCCAACCAGAGACTGACCAATTGAAGTCCTAAATAACAATGGGAAGATACAAGTAAACAACATTAAAGTGAATTCATACAGTAAACAGTTAATTTGTAAACTATCAATCAATTATCTCAATCTTCACTGTTCCTTCAGTGAATCGTCTCTGATTTCATTGTTCATGCATTTTAATACCAATTGCGTTCCGTTTCCGTTCTTTGCTTATCGATATTCTGCTGAAATACTTTCTATGCCTGACCATCACCATATACTGCTTATGTGGATATAAGTAATCCACACCACACTGGTATATAATGTATATATAGTAGTAGGATTACCATTAACATCAAAATGGGTGGCCTATTGAAAAAATGAGCCCATAAAAGCCCTAATAAGTCGAGTAATAACAACTCTGTTATAACATATATACCATGTCAATTAAATTGAATTTGCAACCGGCTGTGTAAGGATCGTACTCGCTCCACGCATACCGCTGAACGACTCGCTATTTAACTTACTAACGAATCCTATATCAAGATCCATTAGCATAAGTAATATGAAGAGTGAAATAGACAGTATTTATAAGCAATTAAGTGATATGAGATCTATGATGGAGTCACCTTCAGACTCTTCATCAAACCATGATGACCTTTAGCAAGAATTAAAAGCTTCATCACTCCTTAAGCTACTATTGTTGAAGGATGTGGTTCCTGCAGAACTTGAAGACATTATTAAAGCTGCATCTGTTATAGATTTTATCGCTTGCGCAGTTACTAAGCTAATGATCCCTAGAAACAGTGTTACTATCGATATCATGCCTGACAAAATCCCGCTCATAACCGTGATGAATTTGATTGTGAGAGCAGATAACCTTCAAGATAATCCATGCTATTGTATTCGCCTTAATCAAAAGTACCAGAAGTTCTCATGACCCATCTTTCTTAGATTCGATTCACATTTATTAACTGAGTAACTCAAGGAATGCGAACGGTTAATCAGCACACTTACGAAGTTTAGTAATGCTTGTAAGGTCTCAGATAAAACCATCAATTAAAGGCTTATGCCAAAGCGTACCTTAAACAAAAATAATGATGTAGAAATCACAACCAATCCCGTTGCTTGAGCAACAGTATGTGAAACGAGTAATCTCAGTATCCTTTGGGTATTGCTTTGGGTATTGTTTAATATTCAACAATAATTAAATTATATGATGATTCCTGTCGAACAGCATACAAAGTTACCAAATCATCAAAATTTTGGTTAAAATAAGAATGACGTTCAACCATCGTATCATTCAGCTGGCTATGAAGTACCATTAATTTACCATGAAATTACTTCTCCTTCATTACATACTCGTCAATCAGCCAATCATATGACATAGTGGAAATTAGTGCATATTACTAAGTGGTACTCAAACGCCCCCATTTACTATAGTAATATGTAACCATATTAATTATTAAAATTATATTAGGACTAGATATTTTGCGTACTATAAATGAATACCGAGTTAAATTTTGTCCCTTTTTGTTTTTACAAAATTACACATTAACAATAAAGTTTACGTTTTCTATGTGACCTTTAAACATTTAAAAAATTTATCGTTTATAATAAACTGGTAGTTATAGCACAACAATTTGAAACAAGATATGGTAACGTTTGTGGTAAAACAGCCCATTCATTTGTTTTTAAATTGTAAGTTTGAATTAAATTTGATGGTTCCATATTGTTACGACCACCAATTAAGAAAACATAATCATTCCATAGACGTGTAGCTAATTATTCAACAGAAAAGAAAAGCAGAAGGGGGTTTTGTAGAGATATTAGTAATTTTATATAGTTAAGATCATGAATCAATTGAAGCTAGACCAACATGGAAAACCTGGAAGCACTGGACGGCCGCTTCGTCCTATTGTGAGACTCCTAAGCAGTGCTCATCCACGATCCCGCTTCGTGAGATTCGAACCACTGAGCCGGCTCGATGGTCTATCAATTAAGTGCTCTGCTGCGAGATTGGTAGTACTTGGGTTCGAATCTTGCGAGTGCGGGGTCGTAGATGCTCACTGCTGAGGAGTCCCACAGTAGGACGAAACGGCCGTCCAGTGCTTCCAGGTTTTCCATGTTGGTCTAGCTTCAATTGATTCATGATCTCAACTATAGAAAAGAAAAAATTAAATATAAATCGTAAGGTTTTAAGATTTTTTCTTTTTTTCACATTAAAGACATTAGGAAACCTTGTAGAAAGAATACTATTATAATCTACAGTGATAAATCCGATTTGAGGTGTTTTTCATAGCATCTCTCTTCAAAGGTAGAAAAATGAGTCTTTTAACTGTTGGTTGTTAATATTCCCTGTTTTAAGATAAACCGAGTACAAAATCGTTCAAGGTCATAGGCACTTGTTAATGATCAGTAGCAAATTAGGACGAAACGTCACTTTGACTTTCAATGATTCTTCAATTCGAATCAGCCTGTTATCTTCAACGTGAAATAGTCAACATGAAGCGCTAAACTATGTAAGTACATATGTTGAGGATACCCAGGTCACTTGTGGTTGATTTCTACATTAATTTTATGAATTTTCCATTATAAACCATTTCTAATTCAGTTTATATAATAATACAATAGGTATATCAGGCTTGTTTGTCGATCAACCGTTATTACACAAGAAACGGTTTATTCGATGATTTGATTAAAATTAATTGTAAGTAATTGAAATGAATCGGGTTTAATTCATTCGGTCTCATCTAATCACTTTCAAACTGAACAAGGCATAATAATAAACTAGGAATCTTTTTCTGGACAACAAATAATAATATTTCATAAAAGATTATTGATTTCAGTACAACGACCTAAAATCCTAGTACTCTTACAGTTAGCAACTGTTGAGTATTATTTTCTAGTGTAAAACTTATGCATTAAGATATTAGATTAATGTTAATTGATAGTAAAAATATATTACCAGCAAATGCCCGATGTAAAATCATTGGTTTGCCTTTACTCCAACTTGCAGTTTTCAATAACAAAATATCTGTGGTATTTACACAACTAGTTTCATTTGCTCCACCGCATATGTATACACAATCATTATGAATAAAAACACTTGAAGCTTCACGTCTAAAACGCATGGAAACAAGAAAAGCAGTAAGTAATGATGATGATGATGATCATAATGATGATCCTGACCTGTGATCATTTAAATCAGAATTTGTATTAACCTACTTTAATCAAGGAATTAATTTATTAAACCTAAATATGAGAGTTTTAATCACATGAAATTGTAACACATCAAACTGAATCAATGGCATTATAATTCTCAATGAAATAGACGGGAATAAGTGAAGTGGAAAATTTACAATAGGAGACATCATATTATCAAACGATAATGAGTTCTAGAAAAGGTCCCAACTGGGAACTAAGTAGCTCTTTTCTGTTTTGTGATATAATTTATATATGAACCTATCGTATACTAGTTTAAAACTGGTTTACACGGTGGGCATAATAATATTTAATTAGTAAGTGAAAATCAAAAATTCTTTATGTTTTAACTTTAGTGCATTTGAAAAACCCGAACCTGGGACATATTAGCCCTAGAGTTTTATCGTTAGATTCTCTCAGTGAAAACCGATACAAACAACGTCCTTCATTTGATCCCTCAAAGGGTTGTAGGGGCACACTGATGAGGATTTCTATACTATGATGGAATAATTTACTAGTGCTTCCTGGTTTTCAATAATGATGTAAACTATAAAATTCGTCAATCCCTGCATACCTTTAACATAAGTAATGAACTTCAATAAACGGTATACAGTGTTTGTTAGATACAAGAATTATTTTTGCTACATAACGACGAGAATTAAGAATCAAAAATGTATATCAAGCATTGTAAGGAAAGATGGATGGTGGCTAGTAGCGGAATGCGGGACGCGTGTTTCGTCCTCTTTAGGATTCGTCAGCTGCATGTACCTGCATCTGAGAGTTGATGTTCACTCTGGGACTCGAACCCAATACCTTTCACTTTAAACGCCATCGCGTTATCCACTCAGCCACTGAGTCCTGAAAGCTACTTGCTTGTGCGATGGGTGAAGTTTAAATTTATTTAGTATTGTTTGTTTGAATCTTCTCATAGATGTGTTGGGACTGAAACTGGTCCGTCTCTTATTGGCAGTTACATCCAGCTGACGAGTCCCAAATAGGACGAAACGCGCGTCAAACTGGATTCCACTGCGAGTCACTATCCATCTTTGCTTATAATCGCTAACTCTGCTTAAAATCTTTTTGACTTCATAACAATGTTGAGACAACCCTCTTGAGATGCACTTATGCCAAAAGAGACTGATCATTTGTAGTCCTTAATATTAATAACGGGAAATTTAAAACTCTACCAAAATTAAAATAGATTGAGAGAAACTTGACTTTAATTACTGTTTTTTCAAGATTGATAAATACTCGGCCATTCGTGTGAGCCTTGGGTTTACTAGATGCAGATGTTCCGGGTAATTAAAGCTCAGAAATTAAAATTATCTAAAATGAACTAGTTTTTAAGTTCTAATATTTTCAATAATTTTGCAGCTCATACCAACTAGAGATGAGATCCATTTTCGTAAAACTCGATTGAGAAAACGGAATTCTTGTCATGAAAGATTCTCTATCCAGGGATGAGCTGTAAACTATAAGTCTATACTTTTAGAATGTATGCTTTTTGTCTGATTCAATTTGATAACAGTAAGAGATTAGACTTTGATTACTTACAAAAGTCTAAAAGTAGTAAGATTGGTCAAAAATAATATTTCATCGAAATCATGGACCCATCAATGTTAGACAACCACTGAAAACATGGAAGCACCAGACAACCATTTCGTCCTAGTATGGGATTCCACAGAAATGTGCATCCACGATCACGCACGCGAGACTCAGACCCAAAACATTCGGTCTCACTGATTACCGAGTCGGTATTCAATGGTATTTATGTCTAGAGGTTAAGCGAAGACGTGAGACTGAAGGTCTTGGATTTGAGTCTCGAGTGCGGGATCGTGGATGTGTATTTCTGTGGAATCCCATACTAGGACGAAACGGTCGTCTGGTGCTTCCATGTTTTCAATGGTAGTCTAACAATAATCGATCCATGATTTGAATGAAATTCAATAATCACCACGACTTCAAGCATAAAAATAATACTGATAATAACTGATAATAATAACCAAGGAAGAGAAAATGTAAACATAAATAAGAATTTTTACAAGTCAGTCGTCTAATACATATGATTCTCACCACCTACCCATTTAATGATTAATAAATGTAACATCTCATATGTTATTCAGTGAATTAAGAGAGAATACTTTGTCTTATGAGAGCTATCAAGTGACTTCACTAACTTAATATCCACTGATGGTGACTTTATCATCCAATCACTTGACTTTATAAACATCCATTTTATCAGTAGACAACTTTTGTGCAAACTATTAATTATCTAGACGACTAACAGATTAACTGTATTTAGAAAGAGCAATACGTTATCACCTGGACACTATTAGGAAGTAAATATCTAATTGCAATACAATATGCCGTATACTTATTTCCAGGTGAATTATGTTTTGATAAAGTTTCTGTCTTAAAAATATGATTTCCCAGGGTTCATATCCAGATAGAGTGTTACTTTGAGTGAATATACAGTACCTTCTTCACAGATATTATCGAATTAGTACAATCTGATGTAAAATGAATTTCAAATTAAGAGAATAATACCTTTCTCACATCTAAAACTGTAAAAGACGACATTAAACTACCGTAAATAATTAACTCATAGTGAAAAACGTTGATTTGTAATGATTTTCATTATTCATCAAAAGAACATACACAACATAGTTAATAGGAATTTCTTCTGCACCACCATAATCAAAATGTATTATACTGTTGAAGCAATCAGGTCTGGGATCACGACTTTTAGGTTTTATTATAAAACTTGGGAAGGATTGTTAGCATTACTATGTAAATAGATCTCGTGACAAATAACATTCAAGAGTCAAATCAACTTATGCCTATAGGCAACATCTCTGTATCCACACGCGAAGCCCACGTGTCAAGAGAAACTGATAAGATGCATTCCTGAAAAACAACATTTAGGAAATGCCAACCCTTAAATATAATAATGAACTATGGTAGGTGATTTTCTAACTCTGGACATACTGGAGCTTTAGAAGACCCAGAGAGAAATCTTGACTGATGGGGTTCAATCAAGCCGGGAGTGAAACAACTGTCTCCAGCACTATAACTAGCATTACATGACTAAATGACTTGAGTCGAAAAATGGAGCATCAGATTCTATCTTGTAGAGCTGGGAATAAGTTATAGAATTCTGGCTCAGTTATATGTGATCCTGAGGAATTTTTTGCTCTCCTGTTTTTAGTAGTTTGGCGGCTGCTATCGGTGTAAACTTAGAGCGTTCTCCAGCTTTAAATTACCACTAAAGATAACCCGAAAAACAATATGACTATTAATATTATAACGTAAGCGACCACTTCAGAGATCTACTGCGATACCCCCAGAATGAAACAATTTGAAAAAAAATTAGCACATCTTACTTTGGTAAAATAAGATTTGTGTTAACAAAGTGATCGTGAATACTTACACTTCAGTCATTTTCGCTAAAGAATGCCATTTTCCTGACGTCATATCATACATCTCGATAGTTGAATCTCTGACCCCACCAACAACTATAATTTCATTATTGGTAGAGCAAACACTAAAACCAAATCGTGGTCTCAGCATTGACGAACATAATTCCCACTTATTTACTCGTGGATCCAACATCTCAACAGATGACAAAGTTTGATCTGAAGAGATAAAGTGGAATAAATAAATCAAAATGGTGACAATGAGCGTTTTGAACTTTTAATCTGGACTGTACTCAACTACTCCATTTAAAATCGTGGTAGTGAAATGTATGGCGAGCTAACTGAACGACACAGTTAATACCACAGACCGATTTTAGCTATCCAATAGTATCGAATCATGAGACGATTGTCAGTAGTTTCTTCTTAGTATAAGACTTCTCACCAGTTTGCACACAAGACCACATAAGGGATCAAATCTAGGACGTTCAGGACTTGCAGAGATCATATTACTCCTATACTACGGCTTATGTATCTAACGCTTTATACTTCAAACTTAATTGAATTGAAGATATTGTTAGAACATCACCCACTTCTATCAACAATACCTGTCTGAAACTCAAAATTTTTAGGTAATATCCAGAAAGATAGAGAGTTAATTTTAACAACTACATACATTCTGATTCACTTAAATTATAAAAAACATACTTACCGTCTTCTCCGACACCTCCTATAGCATATATCACACCATCACATTCCGTAAGTGAATACCAACTTCGTCCGGTATTTAAATTTGGCCCACTAGACCATAAACCTAATGATATATCATAAATGTTACATGTTTTCATTGAACATTTAGGTTTTCCACCAACAATATATATTTTATCATTTAAATTGATAGCCCCAAAACCCTTTCTTAAAGAAGGCATAGTATTTAAATTTGGTATAATTATTTGTTTTAAATAAGGAAATGTACATGATTCCATGGAATTACCATTTAAATAATTTTCATCAACATTACAATTCTGATATTGATCTATGAATAAAGTTTCATTCTGATTAATGAATGATTTCAATTCAAAAATTTTATAACATGTTATATTTGATGAAAAACTTTTGTCGATTAATCGTCCTCCAAAACATATCAAAGCTGTCTGTAGTAACAAGAAATATTTAAAAGATAATTAATGCAGAATACTGTTAAGAATTATCTGCCAAAAATTGAATAAATCGGAGTGTCTCGAAAAAATTTTCAAATGAACATTATGATGATGGTGTTGATTCCTTCAAACTGAATGACTTTGACAATACCTTTATCTGCTCCACTTCAAATAGTTAAGAATTATTGAGGTCTTGTATCCAATAGCTTTGCTGTTCTTTATTCTTTTACTTCTTTTCAGTAGCACATTTGTAGTGCACAGCTATAGAGTCTCTTACGCCTGATACACAAACCTTAAGCATGCGTTCTTTAAGGTCACAACTTATACCAAGTTCCTTGCAATCGTTACTTTATAACAATTGTAAACTTATCAAACAATTCTACTACGTAAATAGTTTGCAAAGTTAATCTCCTTAAGAACTCTCCTGTAAATCATTGTTGATTCATGAATGTCGCATTTTAACAACTCTGTTGAGTGACCACCCTATCTGTGAACACTTATTAGAAACCTCACGGAATCAAATTGATTATGCCTTTAAACATGGCGTGTACCCGCTTTGTCGGAAATATATCACTATTATTAATTAGCAAATCATTATTTTTCTACATCACTTCAAATGTACCTATTTCAAGACTCTTTTCTCTAAGCTAATTTATAGAGATCAGAATTAAATATCACTTTTATCCACAAAGCTCAGATTTAAATTAGCACATTTTTAACAGTTCCATTTATCTTCTAACGAATTCTGATGGAAATCTAACTCAATATTTATTTATTTAATTGCATAATAAGCGTCTTATGATGACAGATAGATTCCTTTATATCTTGGTCATAAAGATGTTATTAATATAGAAATGGATACTATATAATTGGTGAATTAAAATGTTTAATTGTTCGGTTTTGTTGAGTTATGGTCAGTTACATCGGGAATATGAATATCAGTAGCTTACGAAAACTAACCTAATATATTCAATAGATACCTCTATTGGCAATTGTTAATCACTGTTAAAGTCAAATAACTATGTTATAGTCTTAAGAATATAATTTAAAATACAACAAATCAGATGATTTGATCAACTTTCAATTACTAACCATATAATAAGTTATCGTATGTCTAAACAAAACTTATTTATTTATTGTCAGTCAAACAATAACATTAAATAGAATATTATATAGTTGAAATCATGAGTCCATTATAGCTAGACCACCATGAAAAACCTGGAAGCCGACTCAGTGGTCTAGTGGTTAAGCGCTCGCGCGCGAGACTGATAGGTCCTGGGTTCGAATCTCGTGAGGTGGGATCGTGGATGCGCACTGCTGATGGGTCTCACAATAGAACGAAACGGTCGTCAAGTACTTCCAGGTTTTCCATGGTGGTCTAGCTTCAATTAACTCATGATTTCAACCATATAAAATTACTAACATCTCCACAAAACCCTCTTCTATCAAATAGAATAACCTAATAGAAATTCAATATTCCAAATAATTTAAATTACAAAAAAAGTGATATGATCAGGTACTAGAATGTTAAAATGTACCAAAAATCACTTACATTTTCTGTGGTTTGTTTCGGTGGGTCACTTTTGTAACTGGATACTGATAAATTAGTCAATGTAATCTCTTTGTCTGTAGAATAATTTGACTGAAAAGAAGGCAGATAATTTAAATCATGTCACGGAAAAGGTCATTCATATGTATATAAGTATATTCTTACTTAAATCGATTCTTATAATTGATTAGATTTACTTTTCACGTCAAAGTGACATTATTGGAAGATCTTTTAGTAACATAATAACATTGAAATATAGGAAAGATTGATTCTGTGAAGGGTTCTTTTCTTGGAAAATTCATTTTTAAAGCTGTACAATCATAAATATATAAACTTCTATTTCAAAATGATAATAATTACAGTAATAGTGATAATAAAATTCTGTTAAACATGGTAACAGTGACGTAGAATAAACAAAGGCATTAAAACGTTACAGAGGTCTTTATAGACTTTTCATTTCCAACTGGATTATTTCTGTTTCCATGATACCTCTGACTACAGTTGATCTCAATTTCAACAGTTTATCTTGTCATAATGAGCATTCCCTTCCCAGACACAATTTCTTTCTTAAATAAAATAGCCTGTTAATGCCTTTGTTTGTTCTACCTCACTGTTACCAGTTTAGCAGAATTTCATTATCAATATTATTGCGATTATTGTCATTATGTAAAATACGTGTATATATTCGACTGTACAGCTTTGAAAATGCATTTACTGAAAAGAGAACTCTTCTCTGAACCAATCTTTCTTATTTTATGTTTTAATAGGTATATTCCGTTTTCTTAATAATATCACTGAAAATCAGTTTTATTCTAGTTTATGACCATTCAAAAATGAACACTCATAACCTCACATAGACTCAGACTTACAGAATTAACTAGTTAGTATCGAGTGGTCTACAATTTTCAACTTCGGATAATTCGTGATATAATGCGTTTCTCAACCAATATGATAGGTGGATAGCTGCTTCATTTCAAACTTGACTAATTACTACTATATATATGAACCATCGGATAACAGTTCACTGGATTAATGACGTATGACTGGCCGTTAAACTTCAAAGTCCTGCTTTAATTACAAAACAATCAGACTTATGAAATGAAAAACATTTTTCAACGATAGTATTAGCAAATATAATTAGCCTGATTGATATTTAAAGTCTTAAAGATTAATGAGTCTTTGTCGTTTAATACTGAGGTCTGACTTTAGTTAGAAAACCATTTGAAAACAAGAAACTTTGGACATCTATTTCGTCTTAGTATAAAACTCTTTAGCGGTGCTCATCCGCCCCCCCCCCACCATCGATTGGGCTTGCTATCTTTATTTCTCATGGAGAGTGCCTTTTAAAATTTCGATCATTTTGAGCATTTTGATCACAACTTTTATTACACTAGATTGTTCCTAACTTACAGGAACTTGAGAATAAACTTTCAATTCGTTTAAATGAATATTATGTAATTTTGGTTATCATATATATATGTGATAGCACTGAAGTGCTGTACAGAAATACCAACTTCACTGAAATATAAACATTTGCTTAATATTGCTCATTCAAAAAAACACTAATTGAATATTGCATAAAGTAAACAATGCACACTAATAGTTTTGTCTTAGTAACTTACGTCACGATTCCATTTGGCTATCGCTACTGACCTTGATAATTGACCTAAATCAATAAGCGCGTTTTTTACATGTGAATGAAATATAGTCATCTCTTGATTTTCCAATATATCAAGTAACTTAATTGTGTCTATCAATTGAAAACGTATATGCTCACATAGTTGTTCTATATATTTGTGACGATTGTCGCAATCCTTTCTAATCCATATATGTATAAATTCCAGAAGTTTCCATTCATCTTGAACTTTGAACTCATCTTGCTCTAGTATTGCTAATAGTTCTTTAGGTTCAATGTTCATGGTCTCATTATTATCTAACATTTTGCTCCACAAAAAAAGAGAAAGAAACCAGTGAATACGATGAAGGTAAATAACTTTACGAAGAAACATTTTGTTTTAAAGAACACTTCATAAAAATCTTCGACAGAATGATGCAACTGTATTAATCAACCTGAAGAAAATATTGGGATATTTTGTTTCAACACGAATTTATGAATAAATTTCAGCTTGATTTTATAATAACCGAGAATTGAATGGTTAGAAGTTTCATCCTTGACTAGCCTCAACTAGCCTATTTATGGGATCTGTCTAAATCTACCAACTTCGTTAAATATCAGAATCTCGAGCTAAACATGAAATCAAGTTTGAACATTCATGTGTAAAAAAATTTGTTTTGAACTTGTCTTTAACATAGTCTTATCTTATAATTACTTTCCTTTCGCTAAGTGTGTACTAGAAAATATATCCATCTGCTCTTATCCTTTTAAATTTTATCAATAACCGTATCCGGTATGATTTTATTTAATCCTTCCAATGCCTTTAATTATCATGATAAGAACTTTTCAACTATCATACTTCATTCACAATATAATTTGATTTCAGCAAATTAGTTCTATACTCCTTCATGCGCTCATACTCAATAGGAGCTAAATAATCTCATATTGTTTATTGTAATCGAAATACTCTCACATGGCCACGCGTATATAGCCTATGACAGGGAAGTCCTACTCACTGCCTTCTCTCGGTATTACTGTTGTTTACGCAATTGAGAGGACGAAAAGCGAATGTCCGGAGCTGTAACCGGGTTGGTGGACACGGAGTGGGGAGTTGAGAAACCCTCATTCCAAACCAATGGGGCACATGGGATCCAGTATCCTGAAGGAACAAATGGCGTATCAATCAATCGTTGATCACCGGCTACTATAGGACTGCATCTCCTCACGATGCTCCACTTCTTTGTGGATCAGATCTTTAGGTTAAAGGCTTGGATTATGGTCAAAATTATACATTTTTTCCCAATTAAATACAAACTATACTTTAAATAGTAGATTGAAGTTTTAATTAACCTCCATATAGCGAATCGCCGATTGACGACTGAGTAAAATTAGTATCAAAGATTATGAAAATGAAATATCATACAAATCAATGGTGTTTTTCATTCGCTTTTTTGGTATAATTTACATATTTTCTCAGTTTTTTATTTGTTTCCATACAACCAGTTTATAAGTAAAAGTAATTGTTGATTTACGTACATTATTTAGAAATTCACTGTAGGTTTTATCATTTCCTGACTTAATTTTTGAAGTTTACCTACATCAAGATTAAAACTGGTATGATTAATAATAATAAATGATCGTTATGGAGTATCACAAATTCATCGAGGTTATAACATAACTCAGCGATCTCAAGTTACTATATTCATCAGCAGACCTAAAAGTATTCCGATTAAATAGCAGTGAATGAGAACACCAGTTTTTACAAGCATATGTATTTGAACACAAATAACAGAATACTTTAGTAAAATGTGAGAACCACACACTAAATACTTCATTTGCAAACTGTCAGTCAATCGTCTAACACTTCATTGTTCTTTTGTTTGCACACCAATCATTCTCTGTTCTCGTTCTATCTTCTGTTTCTAGACATTTCACTTTCGATTCATGATACATACTACTGATATCGAGAGATATCATTAGCACACACCACAACAACATTACATATATGGATTTGTGAATTTCACTATAGAGTCGTCCCAAAATAAACTTAAAACGTTTTCCATATCTCTTGGTATCTATTGACTAACATCAGTCAGTAAAAAGTTCACGTCCAAACAATTAAATAGTTCGATCCTGTTTCTTGGTACTTCATGGCTCACGACGTTTTTCATTTCAATACATAGTATTATAGTATTTAGGGAATATATCTTCAACTTATCTACGTAGTTCCCATCCAATATATTTTGCTTTACATCACAAACTGATTTTAGGTAGACAATTACTAAGTTTAAGAGCACTAGATAGGCGTTAATTCCTGGAATTGGACTCCACGTCAACGCACATCCACTACCATACTAGCGGTTCAATAAAATATCTTCTTGGCTCAGTATGATAAGTTGACGTTCAAACCAGTGAATCAGTGTCCTGTAGTTCACACATAATTTGCTAATTATTACTGTACAGAGTTAGCATTTTTATAAAACTCCAAGAAGTGATTATTCTATAGTATAGTGCTTAAAACTTGTATTTTTTCATTTAACATAAAACAGCCAAACACCGTTCTACTTCACCCTTCTTTGATATCTTATATCCCAAGTTAGTTTACTAATTTAAGTCAATAGCTTTCTAGAACAGAAAAATAAACTAAATAAATAATATATTTTGTAATATCCCAATGAGTAGAAAAATTAAATTTTCTAACGTTTCTTGACTCAAAGTAAATCACTTCTTCATAGAATAAACAACCAAATTAACATTAATCCAAGTTTAAATAGTACAACGGAACAACTCAAGAATATTAAGTGGTCAATCAAAAAAAATTAAACTGTTTAATTACTGTGATAAGGTAATAGCCAATCAAGTGATACACTAATAAACTTAATGTTTTCTATCTTGTTCTCATTGACAATTTTTTCTTCTATTTAATTCTAACCATTCGAGGATGCTTATTATTTAAATTATGAGATCATTTAGCTTAGTAACATTTTCAGTAAGGGTTTATCATTTGAAAAAAAATTGATATATATTTTAAAATTGAGATCATGAGTCAATTGAAGCTAGACCACCATGGAAAACCCTGAAGCACTGGATGACCGTTTCGTCTTATTGTGGGACTCCTCAGCAGTGCGCATTAGCGAACGCGCTTCACGAGATTCGGACCCAGGACCTGTCAAATCTGTTGTGAGGTAATAAATCACTGCAGACAATGGTGGATGTGCTCACTCAATTACATGGATCGGTTGAAGTTAGACATTAACACCGTTGGTTGCCGGCTCAGTAGTCTAGTGGTTAAGCACTCGCGCACGAGACTGATAGGTCCTGGGTTCGAATCTCGCGGATGAGTACTGCTGAGTAGTCCCACAATAGGACGAAACGGCCATCCAGGGCTTCCAGGTTTTCCATGGTGATCTAGCTTCAACTGACTCATCATTTCAACTATTGAAATCAATAATTAAATGTTTACTCATAGACTTACTCAAAATATTTTGCTGTATATTTAATACATTCATTAGTTAGTTGATTAGTTTCATAATTATTTATTATATTATTTTGTCTCATTAATATTAAACAATTATTTTCATTTAAGATTGTCCTCAAATATTCAATACACGTATTTTGAATAAATTGTATATTTAATAAAATGCCAATATTGTATAATTCAATTACAGTTATATCATCAATCGTAATCTCTAGGCAATGAAATATATTAAAAAGAAAAAAAAAGAAGAGAAAAAGACGGTAAAGAAATGAATTAAAGTGAAATATTATTATTATATATAGTTGAAATCATGAGTCAATTGAAGCTAGACCACCGTGGAAAACCTGGAAGTACTGGACGGCTATTTTGTCCTACTGTGGGACTCCTCAGCAGTGTGTTATTAATTTAATTGATTTGTAGAATTTATTAAATTTTATGGAAGGATTAATGATTTTATTCTATTGAGAATATCATTTATCATCTATTTTCAATGATATTTCAGTTGAGATTATTAAGGAATATGGAAAGCCTGATGAAATGACTTTTCGGTGAGGAATTCGTTGAACAATTAACTGGGACATTAAAATAACAAATATTCAGTTTCAAATTACATTCTTCCTCTTCGAATTCATTCCTTTATTTTATTCATCTATCTTCATTTTATACATGCTGTGACATATATAATTCATAACATATATTACAAATTGTACGTTTTTCTTATAAATTCATCCATAAGAGACAATATATAGTGTGAATGAAATTTCTCCTCTCACCACTTACGTTTCTATACAATGTTATCCTAAATACTTTCCCTTTCACACAAGTCTCTTACACACTAATACATATACCCAGTCTAGACATTTTTAGCGTTGATTGGATGACCTATTCAGTGTACAATGAAACGAAGAACCATGTACCTATTTATATTCGATAATTTTGATGTTTGATTATATTTCCTTGAAAAAGCTTGAACCCGATTGCCGGGTGAAACGTTGGATTTACTACAAATTCATTTGCTGAGATTTTTCAAATATATTCTTCCTATTTAATGTCTTACATCAACTTGGCGCCCAAATACTGTGAAACTATTCGTTCTAATTTAGATGAAAGTTCTTATATATTTCTTTGTGAGTGTTCTTTTATTGTGAAGAATAACTAATTTTTGAAAACGTAAGATTGCGTTTTATAATTTTCTTCTTCAGAATAGTCAGTTGAACTAGTTAATAATCATCAAACATGATGTTTCAAAATATAAACAGAAAAAGTTATATGAACTCAGTTTGAAATCTGTAAGTATGTATGTCAGTGGAAATTACGCAGAATCTTACTTATCATCACTTACATCTATGTATAAAGGTAACATAACTACCAATAAATAACAACACATCTAGATCCATGTACCTCTACTCTAGCGTAAAATAGTAATTCATTAAGTTAAACCTCTTTTCAACACAATAATATGAGATCGAATGTGCAATAACTGCTTTTGAAAAAGAAATTATGAATCGCTAAGTTTTTTTAAGGAGGTCAACTGACTTGATGTATTTGTTTGTGTTAAAAGTAATGTAATCACCAAAGAACATGTTGAACAATTTCAATGAAAATAGATTTTTAAAGATATCTAAAGATCCAGTCAGTAGTAGAGGTAACAATAATATACTAATACATCAACCGCAAAAACATTTATACTCTACCTCTTTTTGAAATCTGAGATAGTAGTATATCCTGGAAAACGAAACATTCCTTCAAAAACAAAATACTCATTCTATGCTGTCCTTATAAGGCTAGAATTATTAATCTTCTTTCATCTTGTTAGCAGTAGTAATAAAACCAATGAACTAACTTATATGTATTGCATGTTCTATTTTTCCTGTGACCGACTTTTCTATCAAGAAGTCTGTGTATAGCTTATGTTACGGATGTAAAAGTTGAACTCCATCTACCTATTTTCTTTACTTAATTGTAGCGAAAGTTTGAATTGTGAACTATATAATCAATGAGATTGACGACTTTAGGAATCCGTTTAGAAATAATATTCCACCCTAATAAGTATATTAGATTAATATCTCGTATTATATTTTAATATCTGTTTAATTACAACAAAATTATGAAGGAAACTACTAATTCTTCTAACAAAAATACTTCCAATGAGATAATAGGTTTTTATTTGTAAACATCATTAGACAAAAGATAAATCACGGTGTACTTAAAAGAATAAGATTTTGAAACAATATAACGACATTTCCCCGTTTTCATTCAACTAACAGTAAATGAACGTTGTGTCGTAACATGTTCAATGAATGCTGGAATTGAGACACTGAAAACCTGATTTCGTAAAATCTCTACTCATCAAATTTACTATCTCATGATATCGTTATTTTTTCATTTCTGGATCACGAAACTGTCATGTAGAGAGTGACACATAGGTAGTAAGAAGGCGAGAAGACATGAGACATAAGGCAGCTGAAGAAGATGACTTCTAAAGACTTCCAAAGATGAGATGAATAACATGTGATTGTCACAAGTAGGTAGTATTGTAAACAAAAGTCTGGTTAATATGGATTACATTTCAGAAAATGAACATTCAATAATCTCAGGTGGCTTTTTTATTTGACAGAGTAGTAAACTTTAAGTCGGGAATCTCTACGGTTTCAACATTTGAAGTAAGTATAATACGGATTAACTAAATTTACTACTTTTTATTATTATTTTACCAATAATATAATGGAATGAAACGTTATGCTGACAAATTTAAATGCAATCATTTTAAAAAGAACGATTATAGACTCAAACTTCATACTCATTGTGTATTTAGTAATAAATAGAGTTTGTCTTGTCCGGAGAACGTATCCGCTAGAGTAAATGAATTTATGTTACTCTTTACTTTATTTGATACTACATATTCAATAGAAATCTCTGTCTTTAGGGTTAATACTAATTGGTACTAATCAGTAAAGCATATCTACATTCCTCAGGGAACTGTTGCCAAATGACCATTGCTAAAGAATTAACTGTCGCCATAGCTACCGAGCATTTTGTAATTATATCTTAAACCGTGACCTAATCAGTAATGAAGTTACTTTGTGAATTTCTAAACAGTAATACAATGAAAAACATTGAAGTGGAACTTATTCTACAACTTTATTCAAATCGTTTTCACAGTAAATAAAAAAAATTAACCAGTAGAATCTTGGAAATTTTTTTCAACTATACCTAAACTTCACGAATTTTGTATTCAAATGAATGTAATTATCATATTGACTATTCATTTGAATCGATACCTCTGTCATCTAACTTAGGTAAATCCTTAAGAATGTCACATGCTTAACCATCTCATTATAAAACACATCTTCTAATCTAATAAAGACAGTCTAATAACTTAAAACTGTTTCTTGAATACACTGACGTATTGCATCATATTCTTTGCAATTCAAAAAAGAACCAGTCACATTCTGGTTATACAGAAGAATATGATCAATGCATAGTATTAATTGATAGTGTGTTTATGTTTTTCATAATAATCAATAATTATTATCAATAATCATTAAAAAAAGAACACAGACAAACCTGATTTATAAATATATTTTACAAAAGTATCCAATGTTTTTGCCGATATACGTCCTAAATAAAATGAATTCTTTGACTGTTTTACTGTGTTACTAACGTGATTATTATTGTCGTTGTTGTCGTTGCCGTTGTTGTTGTTATCATAACAATTCATTGAATCACTAATAACAATATTATTCTGTTTAGAACAATTTATATCAGTCAAACATTCTACATTTTCTTCCGCCATACAGAATTGATCAATTTTTGTTGAGACAGCACGCAATACACATTTATGCACTATTTGACTATGTGATTCACATTCCAATAAAAAGCCACAATCATTTAGTTTACTTCTAAAAGGTAAAACAAAGAGTAGTTGATCATATGACCATATTGACAACATTCTATTACAGAGAATTGGTTAAGAGAAACATATTACTGAAATACAAAATCAGTACGAGGAATATGCTAGTCTTATGATTATGCATATATATATATATATATATATATATATATATATATATATATATATACCAAAGTTATTCATCCAATGATATTGAAATAAAACCATATCTTGATCGACACATTAAGGTGAGATGAGTTTCCATTTTGAGTATATTTCAATTTAGAACAAGAAGATTCCACAGAATTTAAGATTTCAATGTAGTAGAGTTCATATTACGCAAATACTTTTACTTGATAAACATAATATCATAGTTGAAAGCGTGAGTGAATTGAAGCTAGACGACCATGGAAAATCTGGAAACACTGGACAGCCGTTTCGTCCCATTATGGGACTCCTCAGCAGTATGCATCCACGGTCCCGCACTCGCGAGATTCCAACCCAGGACCTACCAGTCTCGAGCCAGAGCCCTTAACCGATAGACCACTGAGCCGGCATCCAACGTAGTTAATGTCTAACTTCAAATGATCCATGAAGTTGAGCGACCGTTCACCAATTGTCTTCAATGAGTTCCTATCTCACAACAGACGTGGTTTGAACTCCACGCTTTCAACTATAAAAATACTAAATCTCCACAAAACCCCTTCTGATAATATCATAGTGTATCGTTGATGTACTTAAAATTTTGTATTTCAAACATTTTTATAAGCAAAGATAGATGTTAGCTAGCAGTGGAATCCAAGACGCGCGTTTCGTCCTATTTAGGACTTGTCAGCTGGATGTACCTGCATCTCAGCTTTGATGTTCACTCCAGGATTCAAACATAGTATTTTACGCTTCAACACCATTTATCTTTGCTTATAAAGCTTGCGACCTAAGGCAATATCGGACCGATCCGCAGAGGATGGACATATGCCGATAAGAGACTGATCAATCACAGTTCTAAACAACAATGGGAATATACAACCAAACAATACCAAGTGAATTATATTAATCTATTTATATAACTGACCAGTGTCAGCGGATGCATTAACCTACTACCACATCATGAAGATTGAAATATATGAGAAATCAATTAACACCTCTGATAGAAAATCAATAATGCACTGAATAATCTCAGTTACACATTAATTCAGACTGTTTTCTCAATAAACATAAGAATTTTATTGATACTTTATCATTGAGTTAAACTTAATGTAGATGAATATGACTCTGTTAGAATTTACCAAATGATAAATCTGTAAATATTGCCATTATGATTGATTGGTAGTTGTGTCAAATTTTGTACTAATATCCTCTATAGAAATGTCATATTACTGCTTTTTTGATAACGCTAATGTTAATCAATCTTGAAAGGATCATACTGATGAGTAAATCGAAGATAATATCTGTCTTCATTAACTAGTGTATTCATTTGAGAGCCAGTAGTCAGTCAGTCACAACGTAGAACGTCGTACGTACGTACATCAGTTCGAGTTGCCATACTACATTAGCACAGAGATGCAGTTGTCGATTCAAATACCATAGTGGTAGACGTAGTAAGAGTATAATCAGTAATCCGAAAGATTAGGATGTGAAGATGTTATTCAAGGAGTATAATCCAGTAAAATAAATTTGGAAAGAGAAAAAGATAGAGATATGAAGAATTCAGAAGATTAGAATTAGGCAGAACACAAAGAGTGGATGCACCTGCACCATCGCAAACGATTTTGAGCGATGTCATTCAAGGTCTCAAACCATCGATTACTATCATCTCGTGGATCCCAACCAGGTAGTCTACACCTACCAACATGGCTCAGTCCACTTGTCAGTGGCTTCATGGATTTGTGCCACGTTGTGGTCTGGCCGCTCCTAGCTTTCTTTCAACCTACTTCTACGCCATAAAACATTGCACGTCGGGGAAGTCGGTGGTGAGAGTCAGTAGAATAAAAAGAGATCCTTAAGGATTTTTAACGGAAGAAAATATACAACTCAAAAAATTAAAAACTGGAATAAATATCAGCTAAATTCATAAAGCATTAAGATATTTAAATTTGGAGGTTTATTTTATTTTAGATGATAGTGAAAAACATCTAACGAATGCCTAATAAAATATCCCATCTTCAACATAAAACATACATTCAGTAATCTCTTGGATAAAAACTTCCGTACATCCGCGGTAGGTTAGTTTTTTTAAACATGTCATTAGTTTTGTTATTATTTCTTTAGTACTAAATAGTGTATTGTTGAAAAATGCATTTTAAGTAAGTCCCTTAGGCAAGACTATGATTTATGGACGAACCAATCAGATTTAGAATAACAGGTCTTGGATTATGGTGCGAAATTCATTCATCCATCTGACCAAATGTAGTTTGAGCATTTTTGCTGATGTCAGTTCGTGATGAAAACCCTAAATCTAATTCCTAACCCTAACCATCCATTATCAATCATAATCCTTATTCTTCACACAAGTTTACAGCCCTCATTAATCCCTGATAATTAGGTGGACTTTCTCAAGGTCATAGTTGAAAGCGTGAGTCAACTGAAGCTAGACCACCAAGGAAAACCTTGAAGCACTGGACGGCCGTTTCGTCCCATTGCAGGGCTCCTCATCAGTGCCCCACGAGATCTGAACGCAGGACCTATCAGCGTCGCGCGCTAGCACTTAACCGATAGACCGCTTAGCCGGCATCCGATGGTGTTAATATCTAACTCCAACCAATGCAAGGTCACTTTAGCGCCGCTGAAAGGTCGTCTATAATTTATAGTCTCACCGTCCCTTGTCTAAAACTTAAGAGGAAGCACCGACTCTAAACATGTAAAACGAGTAAAATATTCTCAATCGCCAATGCAAGTTTGTTTAACCGTTATTGATAGGTTGAAAAAAGGAAATCATCGTATTTATTCCTAAAAGAGGAATAAATAACTAACCTTTGCTGTTGATGTAATTTTTGACAAATATCAAATGGACCCATTGGATTTACAAATTTTCCTTTCATTTCTACCATTGTATATATATATACACATTAGAAAGACGCATACACGTATGATAATGATAAACAGTGAAGTGTTTTATGATACAACAACAATTTAAATTGACATCACTTCAAGCATTAATTCCATATATGATTGCTTCTTTAATAAGTAAAATAAACATTACGGAATCTTTATTAATAATTGACTAATTCATAAGAAAGTATTCAATATACATAACTTTTCGTAACGTGAAATCAAGCTCATCAATATGTTTTATATAATTTAGTGTAAAAAACACACTTTTGATAGTATGATCTATACACACAGACATACATATGAAAGTAAAATCACCTGGCTCATCGAAAGTATCACATGATATTCACGGTTATATAGTGCTTAAAATGATTGTCACTAGCACGGTTACAAACAGATTGTTTAACATAAATCAATAAATTTTGATTAGACTTTAAGCCAATAAGCACACTTTCTTGAATAGAAATGTTTATGAAGTAGCAGATTTTTTTACATTTTAGTAGGTTATAGAGATTAGCTTAGTGTGATTATATCGTTTGGTTATATCGTCATAGAATGATATCAACTGGCGAAGTGTTGAAAACTAGGGAATACTAAATTCCTCTTTAATTGTGGTTTAAGATTCCTTATCTGTTCTCAATCACGATGATGCCGGCAACAAAATCTAATAATTTCGAAAGTGAGAAAGCTATTACGGATGAAGATTGGTGTGGTTATACAAACTGAGTTTGTACTTAGTTGTCTAGAGGTAACCCACTTGATACTTTCTAGTACCACTCATAATGTCGATACTTCTACTACTCCTGAACTTTACTTAATAACTGCATCTTGTTGTGCTGACATGGTGTGGCAACTCAATTTAATGCATATATGCGCTGGATTCTACATTGCTTATGGTTGTATCGCCGAGAAAATTCTGGTTTCGAACTCTAGCGTGGTTGTTGGTTAGCACTGTTTATACTTTCTAAAGAAGAACTGAAGTACTTTCAGGTGTCCCTGGTCTTCACTTGTCCCCTAGATTATTTCAGTCCTTTATGAATAAGCAATCTATGGAAAGTAGCATTTTATTAAATGGGAAACTGGAATTAATAACGACAAATATGCAATAATAGACCGGTGAGCTTTTTAGTGACAACATCAGGTGCTTATCTGATCACTTAATAAACCCAATATTTATCAGATACTGAGTCTGTCTTCTTGTCATCTATTGTCTTTTATTGAGTTTTTTATGTCTATAATTTAATTGTAGAAAGAAATGTAGACAAAATTCATCTTCTATAAAGCTAAAAAAAATATGGTTCAAACAAAGACGGTAAGTAACCTGGATGTAAATTTAGTTTATGAACATCTCAAATAACTTAACTGTAGGATATTTCTTTATACAAAGAAAAAGAGATTGATTATCTACATATTGTCAACTTCCGTCACTAGAAAGCAATTACACTCGATCTCATTTATAAATGATCTCCGATTACAACTGTAATGAACTTTGTCTTTTTCAGATATGAAAATTTGTAATCAAATGTGCATCAATAATTAATTATTTTTCATAAGGGAAATCTATTGGTAACTTTTGTTTTCTATTTGAGCTTGGGGTTGTAAGTAGTGAGACTATCGGTTTAGGAGTTTACTTTGGAGATAGCGTCAGGAATCATTGGAGTTAACAGATCTAAGAATAAAACAAGGTAGTTGTTCAGTATTTCGGATTTTCAATGATAATTGAATTGAGACAAAACTGTATAAACAATAAATCGAATTGAGCTTTAAATGTAAGTATTGAACCCTTGAATTCATTATTTTAAATGGATTGTATCAGGCTACATTTGCAGCTTAACAATATTAAGAATGATGATAGCTGATTCTATAAGTAGTTGTTAAATGCACATCAATTTACAGATATGATCAGGCTTCACTACAATGCTATGTGCATTTTGTAAAATTAATGATGCCACATAAACCCTAATGAATGAAACAGTTTGTTAGATCGTGGAATTGTTCGTTGTTTCACAATACTGTTGTTAACAGCAATACCTATGGGTTGTTAACACTATCTAGGTCTGATTAGATTTAAGTAGTCGTAGTTGTTTTTTGGGGGGAAAATGAATTAAATAGGATATCATTTGGTTATGAGGTATCGGGACTATGACATTATATGAAGTGATTTATCTGGTTTTTCCATTGTTGATAGCCACAAGATGCAAGATATTGGAACTAGTATTCTTTTCGTTGGAGGAATGAGGTGTCATTTTTCGGAGAGATAGAGTAATTGGTGATTACAGGATGAAAATAAAGTAGATATCACGGAGTAACGGAGACAAGTAATCGTCGTAATATGTTTATGCCATGTCTTATATTAACTCCCCCTGTAGTCCTCCTAGAATAAATGACAGTCCCAAGTTAGGATAAAAGAGGAGGATTGAGCATGAGATCAGTAACCTCACCCCGTAAAAAACAATCCTGATAAAAAAGCCATCCAGAAAAAATCATTTATACCACTTAAACTCTGTCCTGGGAGTTGAAGGATCTTCATGTAGAAGAATTACTATGCCTTATAATGAAATCCGAGATTTTTCGGAAGTCACAAGATCAATGCCTTTTCTAACAACGATTAATATAGGTACATGGGATGTCAGGACAATGTGAGAGACAGTGAGGACCAATCAAATAGCTAAAGAAATGAGGAGACACAACGCAGAGGTTCTCAGAACAAGTAGAACCCATTGGACCCAAGCTGGACAGAAAAAATTAGCATCGGAAGAGACTCTGCTGTACCTTGGCTATAAAGAACAGAATACTTCACACACAAGGAGTTGCATTAATGTCGTCCAAAGAAATACAAAAAACACGTATAAGATGGGAGTCTTATGGATTCAGAGCCATCAAATCATTATTCAAAACAAAGGAGGAGGGGACCACCATAAATGTTATCCAGTGTTATACACCCACAAATGATAGTAATGAAGAATATAGAGATCGATTTCATTAGAGGTTGCAGTCGATCCTAGAGAAATGCTGAGAAAAGGAGCTGACCACATTGATAGGAAATTTAAATTTTAAAGTCAGAATGGGCAACACCGGGTATGAAAATATCACGGGACGACAAGCATAGAGAGAAAGGAACGAAGATGATGGGATATTCACAAATCTATGTTCTTTCTACAAAATAGTTATAGGTGGCACTACATTCCTCCACAAATTCATACCCGGTACCAAGAAATATTTTCGATAGACTGTTGTTAAACTGCACGAAATAGTCAGTAAACACCCAACTTCGAGATCAAAAAAGGTGGATTTCGTAATGATCGGTCGTGTACAGACTAAATCACAACAATACAGATCATTATTCAACAAGCATCTGAATGGAACTCGTCGCTATACATCAACTTCCTTGACTATGAAAAGGCGTTTAACAATATGGATTTCAAAATCTTATGGAACCTGCTTCAACACTATGGTGTACCTGAGAATATCGTCACTGTATAGTTGTGCCCAGAGGACAGTTCATAGATGCATTCCAAGTGAAGAACGGTGTCAGACAAGGCTGCTTACTCTTCCTTCTTCTCATTCTTCTGGTGGTCGACTGGATTATGAGGACCTTGACAACTGAGGGGAAGCACGGAACACAATGTACAGCTTGGATATGCCCAGACGATTCGAACTTAGCAGATAACCTAGCTCTTTTATCCCAAACACAGCAACAAATGCAGGTGAAGACAGTTATTGTAGCAGCCTCTGAAGCGGTGGGCGTCAGCATACACAAGAGAGCATCAACGAAATCTTCTTTGATGGAGAAGCTTTGGAAGAGGTGGAAGCCTTCAAGTATCTGGGTATCATTATTGATGCACAAGGACGATCGGATACAGATATTAAGGCACAAGGATAGCATTCTTACGAGAGAAAAACATAAAGAACTCAAAGCAACTATCAGACAACATAGAAGTCATAATCTTTAATACAAACGTCAAAACAGTTCTGCTGTACAGAGCTGAGAAGTAGTATCACAATAGTATCACAATGTGCCGTCCCATCAACCTTAATTGAGTTGATTTTTCTGTAAAATGTTTTTCACAGGGACAAATATAAGAAATATAACAGCAAAATATGTATTACCTTGTATAACTTATTTCGTCATTTTCTTGTCAGCTTGAAGTGTTTTAGTTGGTACTTTCTTTAGTCATTGAATTTAGACTAACCAGAAATTATATTCACTATGACAGTCTGTTAACTATTAGAAATCATAAAATACCGGAATTAAGTTTCATTACCATTGAAGTATGTGGTATTATTATTATTTGCTTTATTTAAAGGAAAATATATGGTTAAGTAATAAGTGGTCAGAAAAACGGACTTTGTTACTTAGGAAAATATTGGGGAAATAGAATGAACGATAAAGGACACTTTCTAACAAACAAATATTAAAATAAACCATTGGGTATCTCCAATCAGTATGCGATAAACAAATCATAGATTGTGTGAATAATTATGGATAATTGTACTGTTTATATGAACCAATTATTCATTTGTATTGATGACCGCTTGATTTGGAATTCCAAATACAGTATTTTCGTTCGTGTTCTTCTTATATTTCTTGATCAAATTGCGTTGTTTCTGGGGTTACTAGTTAATACTATAATTCAAATACTCCTAATTATCACAAGAATACAGTAAAATATACGGGTTAATTTGTTGTTAATTCACATCAGTTAACAAATCTATAATGGAAATCGGGCTAACATCCAAAAGAGACATGTGAAGTATGAAAAAACTTTGTATCGGTTTGCCATAATAAGAATTTAAACATTGGTGTTGTATACTGATTGCCTGTATCTGTAGACTAACGACGACTTATTTGAATCCGAATGAGTTAATTGATGGGATATTAGATTTTTTACTTCTACAATAAATAAAACTATACAACACTAAATAAAACAAGGAATGCAGATAAGTTTTTAAATAATATTGTTGCGTCCTAGCAAAGGGAATATATCACTTCGATCGCCTAATTTTGTAACGTAGTAAATAAAAATTAAATGTATAGGGATAACATTCAAAGTTAATTACCAAAGGTTTTTAACTGAATAAATATCCTACAATTATTTAATGATCAAGGAAGCATACTCAGAAACATTTTCGAAGGTGCATAAAAATGTAATACGAACCACTATCTGGAAAGGAAAAACTTTAAACATCAAGTACTTGATATCACTTCCTTTTTACTATAATTATGTATTCACTTGTCTTTGGACAGGAAATGCTCATTACAATTAAACTTCTGAGAGCTTTTTGATGGAGCATTGTTCCCTGAGCTGGAAACAGTAAGGTTATTATAGATA